CACTAGAGACTAGGAGAACTCGAGATTCTGCGTATGCATATCTCCGGCTTCAAAAGTAAGCCCATAACCTCTACTCTTCACAGGACCTGAGACCTAGGAGTCCTTACCCCTATCCCGAAATCCCTTATCTTCTCGTAAATCCACGAAGACGAGCCAGCCCTCCAGACCAGTGTGACCAGTATTCCTTGCAGCCGCTCGCAGGGTTAGCATCCCTTGAGGATCTATTGTGTATTTCATTTGGTGACAGCGTTTCCATTACCCTCATATAACGCTCTCATTATTAGATTATTACATTTGTATCATCTGTATTATTTAAATACATTGTACATCTTCTTCTTCTTAACGTGCCCTATCAAGTCCCCTTGACGTTGGCGATTAACATGACATTGTACATACATTTTCATTTTCAAAAAAAAAAAAACATTTTGATTTATTTTAAACATATTTTTATATAACGGTCTTTAACGTCCTCCCAAGTAGTCCGCTATATCTAGGTTTTACTGTACTAAAAAAACTAGAAGGGTACATTCAGAAGATTATTGCACGACATGGGTTTTATATAATGGCAAGCAGGGTAGAAATTTAATATTAATAGAAAAACAAGAAATGGTCGCTGGGAGGCGCTACTTTCTCAGGAGAAAGAAAGATACTGAGGAACCAAGGAGCCAATATAATTTATATGGACGAATCGTGAGTTAATACTGGAACTACCAATGGACAAGTATGGCAAAGTACCACATTAAAAAATAGACGACATTCTTTCGTAAATGGACTTACCACAGGTTTAAAAACTCTGAGCGCAAAAGGACCAAGATTTGTTTTAGTCCATGCAGGAAACAAATATGAATTGTTTGAAGATGCTGACATGACTTTTCTTGCCAAAAACGGTGCCAAAGATTACCATGAAGAGATAGACGGAGATCTATTTGAGAAATGGTTTCAAGACATGTTAATACCGAATCTCCAAAAAAATAAAAATAATGTGATTGTAATCGACAATGCATCGATCATTCTAGGAAACTAAATTTTCCCAAACAATATTGGGCGAAACGTCAAATTAAGGAGTAGCTTTATGAAAAGGATATTTATTTTAAAGATTACTTAAAAAAACTACTGGAAACTGCTAATGTATTGAAACATACACGAATCACAGTGACGAACAATACCGCGTAGATGTCCACTTATCACTGTGAACTGAACCCAATAGAACTGTTGTGGAGTAAAATAAAACGGTACGTGTCCTCTAGGAATTTAAGTTTCCAACAAAACGCCGTTAAAACATTGATTTATGGAGGATATGAAAAGTACAAAACAATGGACATTGGAAAAATTACCTCAACCATGATATAAAATTGAAGAATAATTTTTGGACAGTAGAGAACATGCAAGATGACATTGAACCTATTATAATTGCATTAAACGATGATTCGGAACATGAACTAGATTATGAAAATAAAAACAAATGAAAATTATATTTCTGGGATATTCTCTTAAACCACTTTCATTAAATACTTAATTAATAAATGCTCACTATAGGTTAAAAAATAGATCTAAAATTGTTAATGTAGTTCATAAAATTTAATAGATGTTGTTAAATGTGTCTATATAAAAGCATTTAAGGAATTATGACCATTTATTTCATTCACATATCTTAGTGTACCCTGAGTTTGGCCCTGCTTATTTTAAAAAAAGCAAAATTTACAAGGACAGTAGAATTGGCAACGCTGTTGTCCCCGCTGATGGCCACACTGCCATCCGAATGTGATTTCCACTATAGTAATAATGAATAACAAAAACTATTTAATAATTTTGTCTATAAGTGTACATTCATGTCACAGGCTTTTACCAACGAATAAAGATATGTCCTCTGTTTTAAATCTAAATAAAAGAAGTTTGTAACTCGACCGATAGAGGCGCTGACAACAAAATTGTTTTGTGGTAAAACACGGAGTATTCTTATAGATCTGGGATCGAAACCCAGATCGATTTTTTTATTTTTGTTAAACCATTGTATTTTTATAAATCACAAAAAAAATAAATATTATAATTAGACATAAAATAATTACTATTTAACTGGGAATAAGCCACAATTAAAGATAAAAATACGTTTATTGACGTTTCAATTTCCACTTCGGAAATTGTTCTCAAAATACAAACAGTAAATTAAACAAATTTTGTTTTTTGTTACATAGTGAAAAATTCTTCTATAATTTAATTTTATCTGACTCATTTATATTGACAATTCAGACATACATTATGCATTTTAAAGTAGACGACTTTAAAATGATATTGCCAATATTGTTGAGTTGCGCTCCTGGGACGACTTTACTTATAAGATAGTTCATTCGATTACATGAAATCAACTTTAACTTGAGAATATCCGTCAGAAAAAAATCATACCATGTAATTCGTCTTTAAAAAGACAAACACATGACACGATGACAGTAAAATTCTCCTATTAGTGATTCCATAGGAAATTATGAGGGAAAAACCAGGAAAAAAACCTCATAATACTATCCCGACATGGTAAGTATTTGTTCGTGCATTTAGTTTACCTTCAATAAAAACCAAAATTCTGATTTTATATGTTTCGTTATTTAAAAAAATGTAAATGTACGTCTTCAAGGATTTTTATCAGCTATCCCTCATATACCTTTTAGTACCTTCAAAAAAACGTATTGGGACCGTGCAAGTTCGGAACAGCGACACCTGGAGTCGTAAATCAGCAAAATTTACTGCGCTTTCATGTTAGATCGAGGTTATCGGATAACTGTCAAGGACGTAGCCCCAAAAAAGAATAAGAAGGAAAAGTAAGATAGAGGTTATGCCGGTATGTTATTAAAAGGCAAACGTTGTATGTAGTGTAAATACAAATAAATATATTATTAACTTACAGCATTACTGTTAATATGGATGCAATAATAAAAACTGGATTCGAGAAAGTAAATCACCAAATAACTTTTCAACCAAGCACTGAGCCAAATGGAAAAGCTTTAGTAGTGGCAAATGTCAAAAAAGAATGGAAGAATTATGTGGAAGAATTAAGAAAAATAAATTACCAAATGCATAAATTAGCAGGTTAAGCCCATCATATCATCATATTGGTTTGAACAATTAATTCTTTCCCTGTAAACTTTTGGACAGCGAATATATCTTAATGGATCTTCAGAAAAATTTGAACTTAATGCATTTTGGTAAACTTCAAAAAAATTAAATTTAAACATTAAACTTGATTTTTGGGTTAAAATGAACTCTAAGTGAGTGTTATGAAACTAAAATTTACACTTAATAGTGAACTTTTATTTATTATTTATTTCAAACTGACTTTAAAATCGGGCGCAAGAATAATGCATAATTTAGGTTAATGCATGTTACTTATGCTTTTTTATGATATAAACCCATTTTTCTCTTTGTAGTAATTTGTGCTTCGAAGTTGGAAACGAATAAAACTTAAATTGACAATTTTTTGTTGTATTTTTACAATTTATAACAGAGCATTTCCTAAATCTTATTTTCTTCAGTGACAGAAGGTGTAAATAAACAAACGAATATGAAATATGACAATTGACAATATGAATTTATGAAATCTATGAAATGTGCAGTAAAAAATACAAGATTTCTCCGCTATTCGCGCACGATCGTTTCTCGTATCACATCCAAGTACTTGCACGTCGCCAATACGATTTTTTCAGTTTTTTTTTCTTGACCTATATTAATTGTGTTTGCCCAGAAAGGGCATATGCAACTATAATTCGAAAAGGTTTATAAAATTAATTAATTTTGTCAAACAGCTGAGAGTAATATTATTTAATTTTTCTATGAGTCTAAAAAACGTGTTAGATGTTGAGTATGTTACAGGAATAAATGGACGGGCACATGCCATAAAAGACATGAAAAATGTGTCTACAGCATGCATTGTTATTTATTTTATAAGTACATAAAACTTATCTACATTTATTTATCAACAAATGAACGATATTATTAAAAAAATTTCTTGAAGCGAGATTCGATTCTTCAAATAATTATTACCAGAAGGGCGTTCTACCTCTTACCCAGAGATTCATCGTACAACCACTTTCAAAAGTTTTTATATGAACTTCGCAAACATTTATTATCAGCGGCTCTATCGATCGGGTTACAAAACTTGTTTGTTTACATCCCGACACCATCTGAAGTGAGGTACACCTTTTTGATAAAGAGTAGCATGCTACATTCGTCGGTTTTACTAAATATAAGAGATTAGAATCAATAATTAACATTTTAAAATATATTTTAAATCTTCTTAAATCTATTTTGTAAATTCTGAGGTTCCCGTAATTAATTTCAAAAGTAAATGTACTTGAAGTAAGTAACTAAGTATTAAGTGGTGCTATCTTCAGACATAATTGTGTTCGCCATTGTTTCATTACTACGATTTACCTAACCAATGTCATTAAATTATTGTTGCAGTAATATTTATGACGAGGAACGAAACAGATGAAGATCTAATACATAATATTGACGAAAGAATGAAAAGGACAGATGGTGATATTCTGCTCATTCATTTCAGTAAAATGAGTAAGCGGATCGTTTGGCTCTAACATGCTTCATTCATTTCTTTAGATACTTACTTTAAAAACAGTACAATATCATTTTTTTATTAAAGTATTTTAAAAATCTCACATATTTACGATTAACTGAGATAATGATAGCCGAAGAGGTCGTTAATCTGAAATAAATGTTAAAATATCTAGATGAATATAAAAATTGGAACGTACGTACTCAAATCAACAATGGACTTTTGACAGGGAAGGATGCAGCTGAAAATTGAATAAAAATGACAAATTGAAGCTATTTAAATTTTCATGTAGTCGATGATTTAAATAGATGCTTATTGTGATTAAGTGTAAGGAAGCTATGAAAACTATTTCAATAATTAACTTTTTAAGTATCTCTTCATTATTGATTATTGTAAAATGACTATTCAACAAGAGTTATCGGCTTAAAAGGAGTTAATAAATTCAATTTCTTATCGAGCACCTTAACAGGGTAACACACTTAAATAACAACATGAGAAAAATATACGTAACAAGGCATAGAAAAACGTAAAAATAAATTTTAAGATGTAAAAATCTGGACGGAGACCATAATACTGTAAACTGCAGGTCATTATTTTCTGAAAAAAATAATATATTAGTTAACGATATAATTAAGTAAAAATTTATGAAAACAGCAAAACGTTTAACAGGAAACAAATACACAGGAATATGAGACCAAACAAGTAAATAATAATCTTCTTCCGCCGACCGTCCATTTATGATCAATTTTAACACCCTCAAAATCATTAATGAATGATTTTCTATTAATAAACGATTTCATTATAGGCAACACAACATACATTGCTTGCATAAATTAATTAAATGATCTGTGATTGGCAGTGACCTGTGGTGTAGGTAACCAAACATATACCTATTTATATTCCCACTAAAAAATTTAAAATGAAGTGGCCGCTGTTAGTACTATCTGTCATTGTATGTCATTATTTACTTTATTCTTTAAAACAGTCATGCTAGAAATGGATAGATTATACATACAAGTATTGGACCTTTCAGAAGTTCGATTGCCAAATTCTCGAAACTACACCAAGGATAATAATACTATCTTCTACTCAAGCAAAAGCACTGGAGAACACAGCCATGGTGTTGGTATAATTATCAACAATAATTTAGAAGAGTTTGTGACAAATTTCATTCCCTTTAACGAACGTATGATGCTACTTCAGCTGAAAGCCAAACCTTTAAACATAAATCTAATCCAAGTGTATGCTCCAACATCTGATAGCAATGATGCTGAGGTTGAAAAATTCTACCCGTACTTAGAGCTGTTAACAAAAAACATAAAGAAGCAGGAGGTAAAAATAACAATGGCCGACTTTAATGCTAAAGTCGGTCGAGTAAAAACTGGAAATATTGCAGGAAATTTTGGGTTAGGTAAAAGAAACAAAAGAGGTGATAGACTAGTCCAGTACTGCCAGTAGAAAGAATTAGTAATAAAAAATACATACTACGACCTACCCTCACGAAGTTTATACACGTGGACTTCTCCAAAAAATAACACCAACAATATAATCAGAAACCAAATAGATTTTTATAACGATTAACAAACGGTTTCGTAATGAATTTCAAAGTGCCAAAAACCTACGCAAGCGCAGATGCAGATACGGACCAGAATCTATTACTAGCAAACGTCAACATTAAACTCAGAAAACCGGAGAAGAAAGTTAAAACCACCAAAATAAACATCAAAAACCTAAAAGACGACAACTGCCAACAGCAACTAAACGCAGAGATAAGTAAATTAACTGAAGGAAGCGTGGAATGGGCAGATATGAAAAAAGCCATACTAAAAACGGGAAAAGAGGTCCTAGGCGAAAAAGAGAAAACCACTAAAAAAGACTAAATAACACCGCAAATAGTTGAGCTAATAACTGAAAAAAGAAAATACAAAAATAAAGATGGAAACAAATATAAAACGATCAAGAATAAAGAAAGGGTAAGGAGGAATGGATGAACAAGGAATGCCAGGAACTGGAAGAACTCAGCAACAAACATGACACCTCAAAACTTACATAAAAAATGAAAGAACTTACAGGCAACACCAGACAAAGAAGAACACTCATAACAAGAGATAATAATGGACGAAAACTTACTGAAGAGAGCAAAATAAAGGAAGTATGGGAACAATATATAATCCATCTGTTCCATGACGAGAGGGAAAATGAACAAGATATAGGTGAAGAAGAACAATACCTACAAATGTTACCCTCAAAAGTAAAGCATGCCCTACAGAATGCAAAACAAGGAAAAGCACCGGGTCCTAATCAAATTCCAGTTGAACTGTTAAAAGCCTTAGATGACGGTAATATAAAGAGACTCACCCGAATTCTCAACCACATATATGTAGAGGACAACATCCCGGAGGAATGGTTTAAATCGATATTTTTACCTCTACCAAAAAACAATAATCCCAAATCCTGTAATGACTCTAGGTTGATAAGCCTAATATGCCACCCTTTACAGATTCTCTTGAATGCAGTTTGGCTTCAGAGGAGGCATGGGTACAAGAGAGGCATTATTTGCGTTGACGGTACTCTTGCAGAAATGTCGGGAATGTAATAAGAGTGCATATGTATTCTTCATAGACTTTAGGAAGGCCTTTTCTGCACACTTGTCGAGTGCAGAAAAGAGTGCAAAAAAAGATATTAAGTTTATTAAGGCTATATACTGGACCCAGAAAGCAGTAGTAAAGGTGAACGATATAAAACAAATAATATACCGATTGCGAGAACGGTCAGGCACGGATGCGTCTTGTCTCCAACGCTTTTCAATGTGTCATATTCAGAAAAGCCTTATGGGAAAGAAAAGAGGGAATAAGAATTGGTGGGGAAATCGTAAACAGCATGAGATTTGCAGATGACACGGTAATTATGGCTGAGAGTATAGGAGAACTACAAACTTTATTAAATGCAATAAACAGTGAATGCATTCAAATGGAACTTGACATCAACACACATAAGACCAAATTTATGATAGTATCAAGGAGTCTAATAAATACTAAACAACTAACCCTTGGTGAACAGCAAATAGAGAGAGTGATAAAATATAAATATCTGGGAGCTTACATCAACACAGAATTAGATCCAGACCAAGAGATCAGGGTACGAATAGAAATGGCAAGGGCAGCGTTCCTAAAATTCAAGCAAATGTTCTGTGACAAAAATCTGAATATTGTGCTGAGACTGAGGTTTATTGAATGTTGCGTCTGGTTCCAACTATTGTACGGGGTAGAAACATGGACGTTAAAAGCGCAAATAGTTAAGACGCTTGAAGCCTTTGAACTTTGGATATACCGGAGCATGTTGAGAATTCCATGGACTGCCAGGGTCACCAATGAGGAAGTGCTGAGAAGGATGGGTCGAGACAAAAAATTGTTGAGAACAATAAAAGTACGCAAGACTGCATACCTTGGACACATACTGAGGGATGATAAATACAGTCTTCTGCAGGTCATCATGCAGGGTAGAGTCGATGGCAAAAAGGGAATAGGTAGAAAGAGGAAGTCATGGCTGCGAAATATTCGAGACTGGACAAACATGACTGTAGACTAATTATTCCACGTTGCAAAAGACAGGAAAACTTTTAGTAATGTGGTCGCCAACCTCCGTTAATGGGGACGGCATAGGAAGAAGAAGAAGAATGGCAACACTGGTTAGAATTACCCGTCTTGACCATAAGAAACAGTTGTCATTCCTGTCATTTCACAGATTTCACAGATAAATTACACTGGTGGGCGTGTGATATGTTCATTTCTTGTTTAATGGTAGATAATGGCGATGGCTTTTGAAAATAAGACATACCTATTTTAAATGGAAATTACATAAAAAAGAATGTTTTCCAGAGAATAAACATCATTGTACAATCATCAGTAAGTCAAGCAGAATTTATTGATATAAATTTCATCTCCGTAGACACCGTTTCATCTTACTACACTAGTACCGACGCAGTATTTACAAAAACAATGCATTAGGTTTATTGGGTGTCGAGATATCAAAGCTTAAAACATATGTTTGCTAAAAGTAAAAATTCACTTTATTATGTAATTTGCAAGTCCAGAAACAAAAACTGCATAAAAAGAAAATGCGATTATTGAATGGCATAAAATTGGTAATTACAAATTTTCCATTTTGCAATTAAAATAGGTGTTTGAATATATCATATTTGAAATCCTTGTCATCATATACATTGACCACAAAAAAAGATCAAAATTGGATAATAGGAAGCCGAGAAAATGCAATTTTTGGACAGCGTTGTGATTTTGAACTCGCCGATTCACTTTCTACTCGATGCGCCGAGGGGCTACCCCACCCTACCAACCATGTGCTTCAAACGACTTTTCTAGCAAAGTTTTTTTATTTATTTATAAGTCAAAAAATTTATAACTTTAAAAAATTCCCTTCTTCTTAACATGCCATACACCAAAGTGCGTAGGCGACTATCTCATTACTAGAATTCTGTTTTTGGCGGCGTGACACAGCTCACCTGTATTGTGTATTCCTGTCCATTCTTTAATATTCCTTAACCAGGATAATTGTTTGCGGCCGGCTCTTCTCCTACCTTCGATCTTCCCTTGTAGGATTAACTGTGGTATTTCATATTTTGCTCCTCTCAATATGTGCCCAAGGTAACCAATCTTGCGTTTTTTAATTAATTCAAAGAGTTCTCTTTCCACGCCGGCTCTATTAAGGACGTCATCGTTTTGAACTCTATCCACCCAAGGTATGCGCATCATTCTTCTCAATGACCACATTTCAAATGCTTCAAGTTTGTTGATAGATGTTTTTTTAAGTCCACGTTTCCATGCCATAAAGCAAGATGGACCATATGTAGCACTTGACCATTCTGTAGCGTATTTCGAAGTTTAGGTGTTGATTACATAGGAGCGGTCTGAATTTCACAAAAGCTTGTCTTGCCATTTGTATTCGGGTTTTTATCTCGTGTTGTGGATCCGATTGGTCATTGATTGTGGTGCCAAGGTATTTAAAAGTTTTCACGCGATTTATACGATTGTCACCTATGCATATTATCGGGTTTTCTGGAGGGTTTCTGCTAATGACCATATATTTCGTTTTCAAAATGTTGATTTTGAGGCCATATTTTTTACCTATGCTATTCACCATATCAAGTAATAACTGCTGATCTTCCAAATTATCAGTTATAATCACTGTGTCGTCCGCATAGCGTAGGTTGCTAATTGGTATGCCGTTCACCTTAATGCCTAATTCCGTATCTTCTAATGCTTCCGCAAATATATTTTCAACATATAAATTAAAAAGCATCGGAGAGAGTATGCAGCCTTGGCGGACGCCTTTCCGGATTTCAAATTCATCCGTATATTGGTCTTGATCAATCCTCACCTTTGCCATTTGGTTCCAGTATAGATTCTGAATAATTCTGATCTCCTTCTGGTCAATGTTGGCCCTATGTAGGGCCAACTAATAAAAAAATTCCCTAGGCTCTACTAATTGACCGATTTCAATTTTTCAAAGTGCCTTTGGAAGCTTGGGCCTTTCTTTATATGAAAAATTTTCAACTATTTAAAGTGCTTATTTTGGTAAAGCATAATTTTATAAATTTGCAATTTTTTGTGAACCCTGGATTGCAAAATTATTATGCAAACATTATGAAATCAATATTTACGAAATTTAACATACGTTTCAGTCGTACTATATCTCGTATATACGTTTCAGTCGTACTATTATAACTTTGCCATAAATATTTTTCTGTTTAATATGTTTTCATGTTTGTATTATTTATCTGTTTAATATGTTTTCATGTTTGTATTATTTAATACTATGTATGTTTTTTTTGGCTTGCTACAAACAATATTTGTATATGTTATGTAGTTAAATAAATACTCTACTCTACTATAAAGTTTTTCTAGGCGAAATATGAAGGCTGTAATAATAATACCGATTATTGCTATTTTTTAAACAATACACACATCAAATTTTCAATTTCTATCTAGTCAAAAATATATAAAATTTAACAGCGAAACTGTTACCTTGTTTTATTTTTGTTGTAAGAGCAATACCTCTAGAGATATAATAGGCAAGAACATGGGCGCAAAAAGCAAACATTTTCGATTATTTTCAGATTTTGTTATATAAAAAGTTAAGCACAAGGTTTGCGACCAGTGCATTTTGTGATTATTGATACGAGGTATATTCTGAATCGATCACAGCATAAAAATCGACTCCTATGGAAAATGTCCAATTCAAAATAGATCCCGCCTGGACTATTGAGGACTTGGGGTAAGTTGCTAGTTAAGTTGCTAATATGTATTCACAAATATTCAGTGTTTTTTTTATAATTTCATTTGGATATTTTGTATCATACATATTTAACCTCTAAGTCATTTGTTTAAAACTTTAATAAAAGTATATGTAGATAGAATATTTTTGATAATTCTATATTAACTTTAATCAATTGTTTTAATAATTAATTTCACATATATTTGTGTAAATCATATTGTCCTTGCCATTTCTATTTTTTTTTATTTCTATGACATTTCTGGAACCTCATGGCAAGGCAAGATATTTAAAATTATGCTGTCAGCTAACACAAATTTCTTGTAGTTTTTATTTTATATTGAGCTTTGTCTTATCCCCTTTTTTTCGTGGGACACCTAGCTGCTACCACCATACACCAACATCTTCATTGAAGCCTGCATACATCTTCATGAGAAACCTGCATACATCTTCATGTAAGAATAAATTCAGCCTCTCCTCCAGAAGTGACACATGTAAAGACTACACTTAGCCTGTCCTTCAGAAGTGACAGTACAATTTGCCATAAATATATTTTTACATTTTTATTTATTTGTAAAGCTTCGAAAAGATTTGATTTTTGTTTGCACTATATTTGATTTCTTTATATTTAATAAATATGATTAACTGTATAATCTTTTATTTGTTCCTGCCAAACGCATATCTCAGATTTGTATTTAATATAATATGTACCTACACCTGAGAAAGAGCTAGTTGAAGCTCTAAGAATAAAATATGCATTTTAAACATAGCATACAGGGCATAAATACAAGGGTTTACAATGAATAAAAGAGAATTGAACTGAAATAACTAAAATTTAAATGAAAGAGAATATATAGCCGATGAAAAAGTTGAGTGCTAACTATTTTTAGGAGAAAAATATAGTAAAACACAAGAGAAGTTTATCAAATAAATAAAATTAAAAGAAATTGGAATAAAATAATTATTGTTACATTTATAATGTTACAGCTGGAAGAAGAAATACTCATAAAATACTTAAATCTCTGAGCTATTGCTCCATCATTTCCTCTCTCCTGTTATAATTATTGTACAATAAAATATTTTTAAAACTTACCTATGACCGCAAATCCATAACCTATTTTATTTGTTCCCATTCTATAAGACGCTGTTGGAAGTACAATTTCATACATGTCTTTTGTTCCCAAAGAGTATTCGAAAATTTGATTGATTTCTGGCTTAACAGGCGTTAGATGGAAATCTTGGCGAAGATGAGCATCAGTATTGAATATCATTGATTTGTGTTCGTGGGCAGTAAACATTACGTGAGGCATCATTTTGTTTAGCATCTAAAATACATCAATGCAATTATGTAGTCTGTATTTAGTTAATAGGAATGTAGAAAAGTTTTTAAAATTATTTTCACTTTTCTCTAACGTTAAAACCATAAAATTAATGGTGGCTCTTTACCATTTACAGATCACCATCTTAATTAATAACATACAAAAAATCACAAGAAAGTATGCAACTCCCATGACAAAATGTTTAAGATTGATAGTCGAATGCTGTAATATCTTTGTAAAAAACTCTCTACTGCTTGTCAAATTTCATTTTGTCTCTGACCTTTGGATGCACGGTAGCAAAGTGGGAAGTAGTGGAAAACTTTACTATTAGATCCAAGTGCACCATTTCTATTGCTTTTAGTAAGGCCTTGCCTTAGGTTACTGTTTCAGAGAAAAAATTAATTTTTTAAAACCTTATAAACTGTTTAATCTAATAACTAGACTACAATAATACATTACCTTATCAACAAAAGTTGAAGGTTTGAACATTAGAGGCACGTGGCTTAAACCTATAAACAACTCGTCAGTATTATAAAAGTCTCTCTTCTTTTTATACACCGGAATGTCAGAAATCAAACGATTTATCTTGAAAAAACTTATGTTTCTAAAAGTAATAAACTTCGGTTGTGAGAATGCTTGTTCAAATCTGTCAATCTTTTCTTTGGTGACCAAGGTGTCTTCCCCTCCAATATCATTATCGCCTGGAATCCAGATGTGCTAAAATTGAAAAAAAAAACATTTTCTTTTTCAAATTTATTTAAAAAATAAAGTTTGTTTCAAAATCTTACTTCTGCCTTTAGTATTTAACTTAAGATACATACCCTTACAAATGAACTTGAAGTAGCATCTAGAAATATATCAAACACTCTTCTAACATATTGATGAAATTCGTGATTTGTAGCTCTGTGACCTTCATCCATCAAATCTCCAAGAAATATTACTATATCAGGTTGTACAAAACTATATGCTTGTATATATGTTTGTTTCAGAAACCTGAAATGTTTGATTGATCTAATTAAAACATTTAGTGGCAATTTGTATATAATCTTGTATAAAACTAGTTTTAACACTCTAAATCATTAGATCGTTCAAAGAGAGGACACCAAAAACAAAACTAAATCTGCCATTCTCAAAAGATTACTATTTACATACTTGCAACATAAATCATAGACTGTAATGACTGTGTGCAAAGAACAATATGACACCAGTAGGTCTAGGTTTTCAGATCTGTCTGTAGCTATCAGCTACAGACCCATACCATGATTTCATTACCAAAACCAGTGCAAAATTCTTGGGAATGTTTTCTTTTTTCAATCTCTTAGGACAACAATCAATGGTTTACCAAAACTTAAATTTTTATTATGTAACTTCTAGAACAGTGTTGCAGTTCTTGGTAGAACAAATACATAATTTAGTTCTGCTTATAGATACAGTATCTTTTAAAAGTGACTAAATATTTTCACATTTTAAAACAGATACTTAAGCTGTATCAAATTTAGTAGAGCTTTTGAATTAGAATTTACAATGAGAGTGAAGAATCTGAGGAGGCATATGTAGGAAATTAGTTAATTATTATTGCTGGATATTGCATATGAGTAATAACATAATGAAGTTCTCCCAATCAGTGACGCACTTAGAATTTTCCTGGGGAGGTGGTTTGGTTGGGAACTGAATTTTTTTATACTACCTCCATTATGAGTCCTTAAAATTTGTGAGTAACAGTGTCAGAATAGTGCCCTGGGGGGAGGGGGATTTAACACTCCAAAAACCCCTCTCGTATGTGTGACACTGCTCTTAATGCATTTTTTGTACATCCCTGTTTATAGCAATTTATTAATATGAGTTAAATTTCAGTTTAGTAGATGTCATATCCTCTTTCTACACTAGTACCTCATATTATTAACCTAACTATCTCACATAAAGTCAACTTTGTATTTTTTTTAATCTAATAACCACATCAACTACTAACATTATTAGTCGAAAGAAATCTTCTCAATTCTTGGATTAATTTATCTTGGGATATAAATTTTAGTAAAGAACAAATGTAATAAGAAATAAAAATTGTGCATCTTAAGCTTATTAATTATTAAAAAAAAATGCAACAATTAAGCCAAAGAGAGGACACCAAAAACAAAACTAAATCTGCCATTCTCAAAAGATTACTATTTACATACTTGCAACATAAATTACAGGCAGATTTCAAATGTGAATAAAAATACATTCATCTTTCTTCTAACTAAATGTTTTGTTTTCTTTTTGATTTAAAGATCTTTCATGAATCTAGCGTATATACAAATAATATATTTACAATACTATAGAGTTCGTCTTACCTGTCACTATCAAAGATAGTAAATGGGGTCAAAAAATGTAAAATTTCTTCATTATTTCCAATAATTTGGGGATCTGCTACTAAGAGTATTTTAGTACATTTGTTATAGTGTTTACATTTTAACTGGTGCCAATTTAGAGTATTTATGTAATAAGAAAACAGTTCTATATAAATTACACATCCAAACAGGGAACTAAACAAAAAATACAGGAAACATTTTTTTCTTGAGTATCGCCTAAAATAACTATTGTGGATTATGGAAATTAAAGATAAATTGTAATAGACATACCTAGATCTAGATAATAGCATTTTTTCTTAAAATCATATTCGTGTTTTATCCCATTAATTCTAGTTTAACCACAGTAGGAACTGTGCTTAATTACAATTTAAAATGTTTAAAAAAGTTTATGACACAGAGTTTATGAGTTGACGTTGACATTTCTTTATTATTATTAATCATAACCTGTTTTCTGACTCATTTGACAAATTGAAAATATTATTCCATCTGTTCCATACTGATATATAGACAACTTATTTTACATCCCTACGTCAAAAAGACGTTACCAATTAAATCCAACAAGTTCAATGAAGCCCGTTGAACTATAAATGATATTTAAAAAATAAATGAACGAAATAATATTTTTGTCAAACAAATAATTACTATATGAATTAAAAATTTATATTAAAAGTTGGTGGACGCTCTAAGGAAGGCACAGCAGAACTGTCAAGTTAAGCAAACAAGGAAAAATAAAAAACTTACAGAAGGCACAAGGAACCTAATGCAAAATAGAAGGGAAATGAAAGATAAGCACACAGTGAACATCGCAGAGCTGAGGAATTTAAATAAAACCATTTCAAAAGCTGGGAAGACATAAGCGATTTTAACACTAAAGAAACAACTAATACCATAGAACAAAATAAAAGCCTTAAAGTTCTAAAACGAAAGTTGAATACAGGAACCAGGAACATTTATAAGCTAAAAAATACATAAGGACATGCTGTATATGAACAACAAGAAATTATCGAAGAGTACTATAGAACATTATATCGTCGAGATGCTCACATTCCAGAGGTGGAAATCCCAGCCATACAAAATCAAGGAGCAGAGGAACTTCCAGATATAACCGAAGAGGAAATCGAATCAGCGTTGAAAGGTACGAAGAAAGGTAAATCACCTGGAGAAGATGGAATTGTAAGTGAAATGCTAAAATTGGGAGGCGAATGCGTCATAAAAGCTTTAAAACCCCTTTATAATGCCTACCTCTTTGAAGGAGTTACACCAGAAAAATGGAATAGTGCCATTATGATAATATTGCACAAAAAAGGAGATGTAACAGAAATTGGAAACTACAGACCTATCAACTTGTTATCTCATTTATATAAGCTCTTTATGAGAATAATTACCAACAGACTGGAACCTAAGCTGGAGTTTCACCAACCATTAGAGCAGGCCGGATTTAGGTGTGGTTTTGGAACGAATGATCACCTACAAGTAATAAAATCCTTAATAGAGAAAGTTACAGAATATAACAAGCCATTGATACTAATATTTGTAGACTTTGAGAAACCGTTTGACTCAGTCCAGCATATCTCTATGTTAAGAGCTCTTACAGAGTGCAGTATTGATCATCGGTACACAACTCTTCTTCGGAATATATATATATATATATATATATATATATATATATATATATACATATATATATATATATATATATATATATATATATATATATATATATATATATATATATATATATATATATATATATATATAAGAGCGCAACAGCTGCAGTTAGAATATATTATGGCAACACAAATACATTTCCCTTCAAGAGGGGTTACTAGGCAAGGAGATACCATCTCTCCTAAGCTATTCACCGCTTTGTTGCAGAGTGCTATGAGAAACAATAATTGAGAGAATATTGGAGTCAACATAAATGGAGAATTTCTGAACAATTTGAGATTTACAGACGACACAGCCCTTATTGCAGACAGTGTAGATCATGCCTGCCAGCTTCTTCAAGACCTTCAGATCTCGTGTACACAAGTTGGACTTAAAATTAATTTCTCCAAAACCCAATATATGACCAACCTTGTGTACTGGCGAAAAAGATCTCAACTAACGGCACGCAAATTGAACAGGTGTATAGCTATAAATATGTGGGCCACAAGATTAAATTAGGATGAGATAATCAAACAACGGAGCTAAACAGGAGAATAGGACTGGCATGAGCGGCTTACGGAAAACTGAGAGAACTCATTAGATCAGATATTCCCATGTGCTTGAAAAGGAATGTCTTTGATCAATGTGTACTCTCAGTTCTAACGTATGGAGCAGAAACATTGACCCTTACCAGAAAAATAATCAATAAAATACAAATGACACAGAGAGCGATGGAGATGTCAATGCTGAATATATCCCTCAGAGACAGAGCATCTCTGAGGGAGCGAAAAACTGGTGTTGCTGACGAAGTTCAAAGGATTACAACATTAAAATGGAACTGGGCGGGGCATGTTGCCAGATTAAAAGATGGAAGGTGGACGAAGAAAATTCTGGAATGGAGACCTAGACACGATGCTTATCGTAATCGAGGACGTCCTCCAATAAGGTGGTCAGATGACATCAAGCGCATTCAGCACAACTTAATTCAGCTCAAGATAGAATGCATTGGAATTATTTACGGGAGGCCTATGTCCAGCAGTACACTCAAACCGGCCGATGATGATGATTAAGTAATACATAAATCTCTGCCACAGCCATTTATGATAAAAAATATAATAAAAACATAATTATGAAAATTATGAAAACATAAGCTTATACAGAATAGGCAGCAGAGACAAGAAATGGTACTTTAGTTTATTTTCGCATTGCCTTGATATGACAGAGCACAATGCCTTGTAATTGCATAAAAGTAATGGTGAGAAAATGGATCATGTAACTTTCACAAGATGCATATCGTTAGGATTACTGGAAATGTATCTAAGAAAACTACTAAAGGCGGACCGTCAAAAAAAGTCAACTTACACATTGTAAGTCAAGGTACGATAGATTAGAACATATCGTTATTTATTAAGAAAAACAATCAAGGTGTGGTAGTGTATGTCATAAGCAGGCATCGTTCAGATGTAACAAGTGTGATGTTGCACTTCACCCTAAATCATGTCTTTTTAGTTATCATAATAAAGAATAACTTTAATTTTCATACTTAGTTTCATTTATTGTATAATGAAAGCATTGATCCTTGAGTAGCTTGAATTTCTACTGTTAGTTATAACATATTATAACGTACACGTGATAACTCAAAAAAGTGCTCAAAAACGGCCAATCTAAATGAAATCTTTTATTTCTAAAACTTATTATTAATAATGAAAGAAGAAAGCCATTAATAGCAGATTTTATTAAATATTTAAGTTAAATAATTTTAGGAGTATCTGAGTTAACGTGCCGAAATACAACTTGATGAACCTTCAAAATTTTTTAGAAGGCAGGAAGCTATAGAAAAATATAGAGAAATAATAAAACATCTTAAATTCACAACATTCAACATTTAGCAGAACATTCTCTGCATCTCTGGTATCACCTATTCACTACAGTGCATATTTAAATTAGTGCGTAGGTGAAAACGTAATTACCTCGACTAATTGAAATAGATTAATACAATTTAAAGTCTCGTATATTAGTCATCCAATATTTTTTTATCTTTATTGTGTATACCATTCTTTTCTCGAAAGTAATTTTTTTATGATTGCATGTACGTATAACAAAATTATATTTGAAACATGAAATCACTTTAATAGTATATTGCTATGAATCATAGGATTAATAAATCCACACATTTTATATCATTTCGACTTATATATTTATGTATAAATACGTTGTTCCAAAAGGGTTTAATAAATATATATTATTTTACTTTAAAAAAATATCTATAAATATACGAAACAACACAAAAAATGTAAGTAACCGGGGATTTAAGAGACCGCTGTTAAGAATAACTAGAACTATGCAATAGGTAATAAACAGGAACGCAAACATAGCTATTTTAATACTGGATCACTCGCACTCCTAGTACTTACTTAGGTACTTTCCGTGTCCGGAACACAAATAGCTTTAAATTTTGTGTTTCCTGTGGTTGGCCACATCCATAGTCAGCGACATATAATCCAGATGCTGTCACCGCGGGGGAACAAATAATGGGGTCTGGACTCCTTCTATTGCCTCCGGGTGCTCTGTAGAGGGCTTCGGAGACGTCAACGAATGCACCTCTACCCAAGTCTATTTACTGGATATAGACTTGTGAAATTTTCTTCTGATGACTTGCCTTGATAAAGGCAAGTTATTTCTTACATGACCAAATGAAGGTCGAAATAAAACACAAAAGTACTGTAGAATAACTCAGCCACAGAGTAAAGGTAGGGCTAAAAGAAAAGCAGAGCCCCGAGAGCACTAAGCTCTCGGAGAGCCCGTGAAGGACTGAACTCATTGACCTGAAAATCGCCTATTTTTATACTTTCCGCAGTAGCGATTAGGGATTTCCAGGTCAGGGAGGGGCCAACGGGAAAAATAAGGGGCGGGGCGATGCGTCTCGAACGTGAACTAGTCGCGTCCGAGAACAATGCATGGTACTGACAACAGAAAGCTAATCGAGAAGCTAAAAGCCGATATTGTGATGGGAAACCTATAGATGCAACAGCTACTAGATATAGCTTTAACAATAAATTCACAATTAAGATACCAGGCAGAGAAGACTGGAATAAAGGTGTACCCATAAAAGCTGCTGCTACCTGGTACACGGATGGCTCAAAAATATCGGAGGGTGTTGGAGCCGGCATAGTAGGGACAAATCAAGTGATACATTTCCCGGTAAGTCTATCTAAGGATGTAACAGTTTTCCAGGCGGAAATAACTGCAATCCATCACTACGTGGAAGAAATAGAAAGGCAGGAAAAAACGTTGTGTTCAGTTGCCATCTTCACAAATAGTCAGACAGCGCTTAAGGCACTCAATTCTGTAGAGGTAATTCTGAGCTTCTGAGCTAGTGTGCCCTAAATAAACTAGGAGACCGTAGCAAGGTTACGGTAGCCTGGGTACCGGGGCACGAGGGTCATAACGGCAATGAAAAAGCAGATGAAATGGCCAAACAAGGCTCATCAATGCCATTCATTGGACCGGAACCCTTCTGTGGCGTTGCAAAGTCAGTAACAAGAACGGCTACAAAGAAGTGTGTAGCTCACAAATCTCTAGAATGATGGAGGAATTCACCAGGACAAAGACAGGCGAAACAGTGCATTACAGAACATTCGCC